TCTCTCTCTCTCTCTCTCTCTCTCTCTCTCTCTCTCTCTCTCTCTCTCTCTCTCGGCTTCAGGGCTGAACTACGCTAGGTCCTATTGCCCTCCAGATACCATCACAGTGGGGTGCGGGCGGAGGAGACCTGACAGGCAACTGGGCCACAGCTTCCTTTCCAGACAAGACTGTGTGCAGAAGAGGTTAAGATAGAAAGGGATGGGGGTGTGTGTGTCAAGACTCAAGGTCAGCATTGAAAATTCCTATTATATGCCTTGATTTCCCCAGTTGCAAAATAAGGCGGGGATAGGGGCTTTAGAATGAACTTTCAGGTCTTTGACTGGAAGGTTCTGAAGAGGTGCCAAATTCTAAATAGACTGGAGGGGAACCAAGAGAGCTGTTAGTAAAAACTGAGAGGGGTGACTTAAAGAGCTCAGAAAATTGCCAGGATTCTTAAGATCAATCCTCCCCCATCTCACTGAGCTTTTGTTTTCATGCCTTCATTTGCATAATTCTAAACCCCAGAGAAATAGAGAAAACATCTGCCTCCTGGTAATAATATAAATGTAGCAGAGCCTGTGCCAATCTCCTTTTGCTGCAGGAAGCCAGTAAAAAGAATATGTGAGGAGTGGCCAACTAGCAGCCACAAAAATGATGGCCTAGAGAAAGACTTGGTCTTGTCATTGTGTTGATTTTTAAGATTGCTGCAATTGCTGCCTCCTTTCCCCAGGGCTGATTCAGGGACAAATCAACTTCTAAAGGTTGTTGCCTTTAAAGTAGGCATGCTATCTTGGTCTGCACCCGTGCCCCTGCTGGTAGCTGGGTTAGCTGGGTTAGCAGGCTGATCCTTCCTCATTTCCTTTGCACAAGACAGGTCAACACTATCTAAAAACACTTCACACATAGTGTTAATTGGTTGCGGCTTTCCAAGAGGCACAGCGTTCTCCACCAACAGTATAGGGTGAACAACTTCTAAGGGCTTCTTAGGAACATGTTCTCAAGATGGATCTCAAGTAGGGTGACAAACTTCTCTGTTTGCTGAGATGAGATAAATTGGTCACCCTCACATGGGAGACTAAAGCTAGGAAGAATGTAAAAATCCCGATTCTTTTAGCCTTTCTTCCTTCCCTGTGTCTGCAGCACACCCCAAATACACAAATCTACAAGGCCTTCCTACTTTGTTCCTAAACAGCTCTCTCTGTTTGCCATTAAAGGCTTTCTGTAATCACCACACTACTTCCCTCACCAATATCATCAGCCATGTTACCCTACCACAAACCTTTTGCTCTAGTCCAGCAAACTTTCTCATTTAATTATACTTGCCTTGCTCACTTCCACCTCTGTGTCTTCTTGAGGTCATTTACAGGGGCCTTCACTCTTTTTCCCATTAAGCCAAACCCTAACTTTTCCTTTAAGGGTCAGCTCAAGTACCACCTCCTCCAAGAAGCCTTCTTTCACCTCCCCAACCCTCACTTTTCCCTCTGTCTTTGTGCTATTGGCACACTCTGTCTTGCACTAGTCCTTCAACTCTTTCTGTGTTTGCCCTGCCTACCCAACAGAAGTGTAGACTCAGGGAGGGATGCTTGATTAATGTTTATTGTGGTTCTTGGTGATGACAGTAATGATTTAAAAATGGTGATTATGATGAAGCTTCCTCCCCCACACTTCCTCCAGGAAACTATGCAAGACTCAGGCACACTCATCTCTAGAAAAGCTATAGCCACTGTAGCTGGGGCATGAAAACCCGCTTTTTCAGTCAGCCATTCAGCTCACAGAGGGTGCTAGCCTACATATGTCCTTTCTCCAAGTTCCTATAGCACTTTGTTTTGTCAACACCATGGCTTAACACCAAATTACAAATTATTGCAAGTGTATTATTTTTTATTCCACAACTACATTGCCATAAATTCCTTAAAGGCAGAGTCCCTACTGTTAGACTTTTTTTTTTTTTGACTCCTCCATGGCTGATACAGACCTGTAAGATTCCTGCCATCTGATCCCCCTCACCCACTAGCTTCTCTATTTTCAGGCCTAGGACTCTCTGGCACTTTAGGTCACTAAATCCTCTGGTCTCTTATTTCCTTGTTCCTTTTGCCCTGCTGGGAGAAACTGAGAATTTGTCCTGTTTCTGTCCAACTCTCTTTCCTCTTTTAGGCAATCTCTAGACTTCAGCCCTTTACTCTTCTTAAGAGTAGAGACACTGGAGATGTTGACAGGCATGAGACTACTGAGGACCTGGGAACCCGTACCCAATTAAGAGCACTCATCCCCGGGGTGCCTGGGTAGCTCAGTTGGTTAAGCATCTGACTCTTGATTTTGGCTCAGGTCATGATCTCAGAGTCTTGAGATCAAGTCCTGAGTTGGGATCTGGACTCAGCAGTACAGAATCTGCTTGAAATGCTCTCCCTGTCCCTCCCCCCCTCCCCGCTCCCCCTTTACCTCTTCCCCTGCTTGCTCACTCTCCTTCTCGCTAAATAAATAAATAAATAAATAAAATCTTAACAAACAAACAAACAAACAAAAGACGACTCATCTTCCAAAGAATGGTTAACTGTGATGGTATCCCTAGGTTGCCCCTTGAATACTAGATAACATTCAGGGCCCATTTCTTCTTCTTGCAGAACCAAAGTTCTGCAGGAAAGGGAGACTCAAGATTTGACTCTCCTCTGCAACACCTCCAACTCCAAACTCAGCAGCAACAGAGAATGAGTTTAAAAGCTCTTGGCATCTTTATTAGCATTCGGAACACCACTGAACCATATAAGCCTCTGGAATAGGTTTAAGCTTTCAAAGTCGCTGCCACCAGAACTGACTTGTAAGAGGTAGCTGGTATGCATGAGGGAAGAGGAGAGGAAGAAGCAAGGTAGTGCAGCATGTGGCTGGCAGTCGTCATGGAACACTAGCTGGTGGGAGGTGAAAGGCAAGGCCCAGAGAATCATTAGCTAGGATGGAAGAATGGCTTCCTTCTGTGGAATGCTCAATTTGAACTGTTAGAATCGTTAAAAGATACCTAATGCAAAATCAGTTATGCAGCCTCTGGGCCTTCTCTTTTCACTGTAAAGCAACCTGAGGATGAAGAATTTTTCCTGTCCTCTTCTGAGCCACTCCCTCATCACGATCATCCAGAGGTGGGATAGGGGCCTGGAATCAAAGCACAAGTGAGTTCTCTGCAACCCTTATCCGAAATATTTTTGTTTTAAAAGATCTGGTTTAGGGGCGCCTGGGTGGCTCAGTGGTTAAAGCCTCTGCCTTCGGCTCAGGTCATGATCTCAGGGTCCTGGGATCAAGTCCCGCATCGGGCTCTCTGCTCAGCAGGGAGCCTGCCTCCTCCTCCTGTCTCTCTCTGCCTGCCTCTCTGCCTACTTGTGATCTGTCTGTCAAATTAAAAAAAATATTTAAAAAAAAATCTGGTTTAAATGATCATCGAAATTAGCATTGAAGGGCTATTGCAAAATGCAGCATGAAATTTGGGGATGATGGGTGTTGTCAGGAAGATGGCAAGCTCTACATACATTGCCCAGTAGAGGGAAGGAATAAGAGACAGAATTTTTTTTTAATCTTAAGTCTTGTTAATTTTTTATTTTATTTTATGTATTTTTTATCTTAAGTCTTGTTATTTTTAAAATAATGGCTATATTGAGATATAATTCACATACCATACAATTCACCCATTTAAAGGGTACAATTCAGGGTTTTTAGTACAAAGCTATGCAGCTATTACCATTACCTAATTCTAGAACATCTTTATCACCCCCAAAAGAAATCACATACACATTTAGCCCTCACGACCAATTCCTCTCCCCCATACCCCCACCTGAGCCCTAGTCAACCACTAATCCACTTTCAATCTCTCTGGATTTGTCTATTCTGGACATTTCATATAAATGGAACCATACAATATATGGCCTTTTGTATGTCTGGCTTCTTTCACTTAGCATAATGTTATCAAAATTCATCCACATTGTAGCATGTATTAGCATTTCATTTCTTTTTATGGTGAATAATATTCCATTGTGGGGATATATCACATTTTGTTTACC